CCCCAAAACCCCAAAACCCCAAAACCCCAAAACCCCAAAACCCCTACCACTGTCTTAAATACTGATAAAGAAATTTTTTATAATTTTAAAATAAATGAACAAATATTTTGTATTCAGTGCCATCCTTTGATTAGTAATATGATCAGCCTTTGCACAGGAGAATAGAGACTGGTTCCTAACTCTAGAGGAAATGTGTCAAACTTATGGATATGAGTACGAAGAGCACCTAGTTACTTCAGATGATGGATATGTGACAATGCTCCAAAGAATCAGAGCTAGGCTAGGAGATGAAGATCAAAACAGAGAGCCCTTCTATATAAGCATGTTCCCTGGAGCATTTGAAGCAGCCCTCTTTTTACGAGGACCTGATGAGTCACCTGGTTTCCGTATTGGTAAGTTATAGTTGTGATTGTTTTATAGTGGATGCAGGATTTGACTTGTGGTTTTTGAACCCGAGAGGCTCTGCAAATTCGTTAGGCCATGTTAATCATGATATCACCCCTGCTGAGTATTGGCACTACGATCTTGTTGATATGGCCCAAGACCAAATTGCAGCTTTGAATTTTATCCTTGATACTACAGGGTATTCTCAAGTGCATGCACAAGGTTTCTCCACAGGAGGGTTATTGCTAGGTTATGCAATTGCTCTGAATCCTGAATTCTTCAATCCTCGTATCAGCTCATTACACTATGTTGCTGGAACAATGAATTACGCTAACACCAGATCTTTCCAATATCAATTCCTCGCTAGTATTCCTGATGTTTTAGCTACTCTTGAAGATTTCGGATTCTACCAGACTTCAACCCCAAATATTCCCATAAATGTATTGCAAGGAACATCTTGCTCTTTGATGCCTCACGTTTGTATTTACTTGTGGCAATTTGCGGGCATCCCAGCTGATCCAAACTATGACGATACAGAGGGATTCTCGAACTATCTATACAGGTAAGTTAAGTTATCCTTACTGACTGAAAAGCTTTGTATTTTAGTGCTTATGTTCCTATTGTCTAATTTTTTACAGAGGACTACCAGGATTCGGCACTCATTTAATGGCACACATCGTCCAAAGCTTTAGAACCAAACAAGTGTCCTATTTCGATTACGGAGAGGAAGGAAACCTTGAAGCATATGGTCAGGCTGAACCTCCAAGGATTCCTTATGAGAATCATGATCTCCCAGTCGCAATGTACTATTCCTATGAAGATGATTATGCTGATATGGAAGATGCAGAATGGTTTGCTGATATTCTTGGAGACACAGTCGTGACCTTTAATAAATACTCCGGGTACTCTCATTTCTCATTTGAAATTGGAAAGGACATGTACTACCTTGATGACATGTTTGATGTATTACAAGACTATCCAATCGAAGTATCAAGCAACTAATGCTGTAGCCTAAGCATCATTAAATTTCATATTCTTTTTTGGTGGGCCATTTTATTATATTTAATTTAAGGGCTTTTCTTTATTTAAGCCTTACAAAGGGGTTTTGGGGTTTTGGGGTTTTGGGGTTTTGGGGTTTTGGGG